TGGGCAGAGAATGGATCAAGATTAACCCTGGGAAGAAAGACCTGGTGGTGTTTGTGAATAAAAAGCTCAACATGACCCGGTGATGTGTGCTTGCAGTCCAGAAATGCAACCAGATCCTGGGTTGCATCAAAAAGTGCATAACCAGCAGGTTGAGGGAGGTGCTTCTGTCTCTCTGCTCTTGTGTGACCCCACCTGGAATGCTGTGTCCAGCTCTGTGGTACCCACACAAGAAAGACATGGACTCGGTGGAATGAGCCCAGAGGAGAGCCATTAAGTTGACCACAGCACCTCTTCATGAAGACAGGATGAGAGACTTGGGGTGGTTCAGCCTGGAGAAGAGAAGGTTCTGGGGAGACCTTACAGCACTTCCCAGTACCTAAAGAGGGCTTACAGGAAAGCTGGAGAGGGACTTTTCAAAAGGGAATATAGAGATAGGACATGGAGGAAAGGCCTAAAACTGAAGGAGAGCAGGTTAATATTAGATATTAGGAGGAAATGCTTCACTATAAGGGTGGTGAGATCCTGGACAGGTTGCCCAGAGAAGTTGTGGACTCCCCATTCCTGGAAGCATTCAAGGCCAGGCTGGATGGTGCTTTGAGCAACTTGGTCTAGTGAAAGCTGTCCCTGCCCATGGCAGGGGGATTAGAATTAGGTGAGCTTTAAGATCATTTCCAACACAAACCATTCAGTGATTCTATAAAAGGATAAATCCTTCTGGTTAAGAAATAAAGCATCCAATGCTATCCATGATTAAAAAGCATTTAAAGTATCTAGTGCAAAATCAAACATAAAATTCATCCTTGTTTGAACATGACTGGTAGAGCATGCAGGGAAAGAGGAATGCATCAGGGAAAGAGGAATGAAGATGTTTTGATGAGTGAATAGAAAATTAAACCCCATCCATCTCTGTGAATATGTACTGACAGATGAGGATATTAAGATGCCCTGCCACCCCAAAAAATTTTCTCTTGTGTAAGATCTCTTATTGCCCATATAACATCAATGATAATGTGTCACCAGACAGAAGATCTGACTATACCTGAGCAACCTTTGGCTAGCTATGGCAGCTGTTTCATGTGCATGTTATAGCAATTTCATGTTCTCTTCCTTCTGTCCTCTAATCTGCAGTTTTCAATATCAGGACTTTTTCAACATCCATTTACAAGACTCACAACTGACAACATAATGTTTAAAGCTGAAGATGTCTTAGCAGACCTTCTACTGGAGATATAACTCAGAAAAACCCTGACACCTGGATTCAAGAAGTACCTCAGAAACCAGTCCAGCTGCTTGACCATATATGAGTCATTACTCCATGCAGTACTTGGCAGTGCAGAAGGCCTAACAATACCTTTACCTCTTTCCTAAATCTGGTATGGGCGCAGTCTGTAGCAGATTATTGTGTTTGGTTAGATCTTCACTGAGCAGGTGAGCTTACTGAAAGTCATATTAATTTTTTATTTCCACGTCTAATAAACTTGTCTTGAAAAAGACCTGCTGTTGGACAATGGGTCCATGAGCAGAGAAGATACCTTCTAACATCCACATCCATTGATTGTGGATGCTGACGGTGTACAAGGAGAATGGACTGATGACTCTGACAAGTCTTGCATCCCCAAATGGCATCACCTCCTGCTGCTGTTGGAATGGCTAGGGGACTAAGGGGACCATTGATCTGGCTTTGCTGGGAATTTTTTTAGTTTTTATAGGAACCCTGCTTCCCTGCTTGCTCTGTCAGGATTTGCATGTTATTCCAGTTCTGCTGTACATTCTGTCCTTCCTCCCTCCCATCTTTTCCTTTCATTTTGGGTTAGATGTTAGATTTCTGTTGTGTTCCTTAGCAAAAAATTCAAGCTCAGAAAATCCTTTTTACCTTGCTTCATTACTTAATAAAGCATGTATACTAGAAAATAGCTACTATGAAACTTCTTAGAGACATCTCATTATCAGCTTCCAGCATTTCATAGAGATTAAACATGACATACCTACTGACACAATAAAAAACATAGACATGAGGGAGGTTGGGCTAACTGACATCATGAACATGATTGAATTTTGGGTATCTCCTCCCAAACAAATTTTGATGTGAGAACGAATCTGTTCTCATAAAATTATTAAGGGATATTAGCAAACCAGATTACTTTACTGCATGTCAATTTAAATTTGAGAATAAGATTTTTTTGGCTAAAAATATATAGTTTCAATGGCAAATTACTGTATTTTAATATTTTAATAATGCATTTACATTATTAGGGTACATATTTCTCTTCAACACAAAATAATCATGACTACATGTATTTCAGATTTTATTCACAACTCAATTACGAAAACACAGAGTGCTCTGTAGATTACCTCCTACATGTCTTGCCACAGCTGAGGCCTTGGAGCTTGTGGGGAAGAGGATGTGCAGTTCTTCCACTCTTGTCTTTCTACAAAACATTCACAATTTCAGTTTAAGACTTTGCCATTTTTATCTTGAAACCATTGCGTCTGATGATTCAGGCAAAGACACCATTTGCTTTGCAGCCCATTCAGCACATGGAATTATTTTTTTAAGGGATGTTGCTCACCTCAGGTTTACTAAAAACACCAATGCTTATGGTATATTAGTTTTGGTACATAAGAAAATGCAACTTTAAGAGACCCCAAACTTCTACTTTTTATATAAAATATAAATATATATTTATTTTATAAAAAGCACCCTTTTAAGGAGATTGTACAGTTATGTTTCTTTTAGTACAATTTAATTTTGCTTCATTTGTTCTACTCAGTAAATTCTGAGGTTTTATTATAGTATCCTCCAATTAATTTTATTTTAAATAGGCTGAAATGACTGTTTTTAAACTCAGCAGTGTGAGGGCAGATAATTCTGCATAGTCACAGCTTACTGATGTGAGCAGGTATGAGGAAATGATGGATTTATTCCATTGCTGTACGAGTAAGCACATGCCATCACAGTCTGCTCAAGGATCAGGTCTTCCTCAACACAATCATATCAACTGATAGAGTATAGATGTCTTCAAAAAAGAAACATGCTTTACTGCTTTGGCTTATAAAATGCAAATACATAATTTTAAAACTTCTGCATTCCCCATTTTACACAACCCTTTGCAGCAGAGCTCTCTTTGGAGTGAGCTAAAGCATATGGTGCTGCCTGTACTGATCCCCCAGCACTGGGTCAGGCACAGGAACAATTTGACAGGCTGAACAAATTTCAAAATTTAAACCATGGGTTCACTGATTTGAGTAGGAATGTACCTTTTGAGTAAGCTTTTCTACCCACTGCACTGGCTAAGGAAAATCTAGGTTCCCATTACTGTTTCCATAAGCTTCTCTTCTAAGATTTACACACCTGGTGTGTATTTTCCAAGCCTCTCTAAAACCCATGCTCTACATGACCAATAGGAATTCACATTCAGCTTGAGAGGCTATAATATACTTCTATTTCACCATGTTTATTAGAGATCTACCAAACACACTTTTAATTTGTATTTGGTTGTGAGAACAGCAATAGCTGCAAGAACATTAATAATATAACTCACTCCTATTAGGATAAACTAAGGGTAATGCACACCAAATAAGAAAATGAAGGCATTATTACCATTGATGGAGGGCAGGCTGGAGGATTTTGAAGCCTCAATGTCCAGTTTTGAGCTGCACCACTACTCTAAGCAAAAATATATCAGCTTCAGCTGTTCTTGATCAGAGGCATTGCCACATTGAGCCTTGTTAATTGCTGTTGCAATTCTGCTATTTGGTTAAATGGAATTTGTGTAATCTGATGGGCCAAAAGCTACAGATCTATGGTTTCACAAGAATGTGTTGGGGATGAAGGAAGAAAAGAAAGAGAATGCAGAAGGAACTTGGAATGAGAATAAATGACTTGATGTAGAGTGCAGATCTGAGTCCAAACATCCCAACAGCAATGTTGAAAGAGACTGGGATTTGAATCTCCAGGGATAGACTTGAGAGATACTAGCTCTGTAACAGCATTGGGCACCTTACACCAAATCCTTTATACTTTCAGATGATGGCAAATTTGAGTACAGAAATCCAGTGGATCTCACTGTAAGTGGATCCCCCCTACCAAGTTCAACCAGTTGAGCCCTGTTGCTGCAGTTATGCCAGCATCACCACATATATGCAGAAGTTGCAAGGTACACAGGTAGAAAATCATAGCTTTCACAATTTACACTGAAATTTAATAAGAATTTCTCAATGACAATGGCAGCAGAAGCAGCTCTTGCTGCTCTTGACCCTGGCACTGGCTTTCTTGTGCCAGTGCAGCTGTGGCCTCACATTGATCCAGAGGTTAAAAATCATAGAATGACTTGGGTTGGAAGGGACCTTAAAGACCACTCCATTCCAATCCCCCTGTCATGGCCAGGGACACCTTTCACTTGACTGGGTTACTCAGAGCCTCATCCAGCCTGGTCATGAACACTTCCTGGGGTGGGCCATCCACAATCTCTGGGCAATCTGTTCCAGTGCCTCACCACCCTTACAGTAAAGAATTTCTTCCTAATACCTAATCTAAAGCTACTCTCTTCCAGTTTAAAGATTAACCTTTTGTCAGAGTATTTTTAACCAGTTCAGTCTTGATCCAGCTAATTGCATAATCCCACAAGAAGCAGGCAGGTGTGAGAGAGACAGTTCTGGGAGTGGAAGTGTTTTGGACAATGGGGTGCAGCACCGACCCTGAAGAACATCAGGGACAGGGTGTTTCCACCAGACCAGTTCCTAGTAGGTAAGTGATTAATCAAATGCTTTTGGTGTTGGATATGCTGTCCTCTCATTCTTGGAAACTGTTATTTTTTGGAGGAATGTTTCCTTCAGTCCTGCTTACCAGGGGAGGCCCAGAGAGCTGAGCTCTGCCAGTGCTCCTGCTGGCATTGTCAGAGCTCCTGTCCTCTCCTCCGGGGGAGATGACAGCACCGGGGCCTTTTCAAATGGGTGTTGCTACGGGCAACTGTGTATAGGAGAACGTAGGCAGAGGCTGAGAAACCCAGGGGGATGGAGCACAGTAGAAACAACAGCCCAGCAGGAACAGCTCTCAGAGCAGGCTGTAAATGCTGATAAAACATTATCTCCATCAGTCTTCAGCAATTCCAAAAAACTACAGCCAATGTGCCAGCAGTCAAAAAGTTATTTTGTTGCTCCTGGAAGTACATGTGAGTTTTCATCCTTCCTAAAATGATGGTGCTAAGGATGGGGAGCAGATGGAGAGTTGCAGAGTCACAGCAAAACAGCCAGCTCCTCACCTTACTTTGCTGTCTTCTCTCCTCTTGTGAAAGATAAGGGGAAACTGAACTCTGCAGATGTCAATTTACTACCTTCCTCACATCTAGCAGGGCTTTTTTTTTTTTTTTTTAATGTATTTTATTATTCTGTAACCATTAGGGAAATTCACATTTAGGTTCTTTTGGAGAAATTTAGTTTCTCTTGCAGAGGGTGACAGGCGTTTGTACAAGCCAGCTCAACCTAAACAGTTCAGCTGTCCAGGAAAAGAGCAGGTTCTGTGCAGCCCTCCATTGAAGGAAAATTTTCATTTCTTCCATTACCACAAAAAGTAGTAGAAACAGCTATTATACTTTTGAGTTTAAAAGCTGACTTTTTTCTCCAGTTCTTTTGCAACTGTATTAAGGAGTGTAAGATGGACAGGTCCATGCATGCCACCATGCCTCAGCTTTGTAACCTTTCCATGACTATAGCAGTGAGCCAGAAAGCTCGGTGAAAGCAAGGTAACAGGTATAAATGTCAATGCTACTGCTGGAAACCTGTGACAGTGTTTTTCCTCTGTGACCTCCAGTTCGCCTTTTCCTGCTGTCCTAGTCTCTCCTGTGGACACTGGTGCAGGGGAACCAGGAGTGCAATACTGCCACTTCCATCTCAAAGGCCACCTGGACAATCAGGTAATTGATTTTTCTTATTTTAATACTCCATCCCATTCCTGTTTCATTTCTTTTCCCAGATCCAAGATAAAGCTTAGATTAACTTGCTTGTCTGTTCTATTTATCCTTAGGCACTTCACTGACAGAACTCCAGGCAATTCAGGAAGAGGGGGAGGAACTAGGACATTACACAAATAGTCTGCTTTGGGACACACTTGTTCAGATTAGACTCCATCCACCTCTGCTTTATATGATGGCAGTTCAGCTAAATCAACCTTTTTTTCATGTACAGCAAATTACTCACTTTTTAACACAGACCCAAGACTAAAGTCTCTTGGGATCTCAGCCAAACCTTATTCATGTGCAGCTTTGAGTTTCATGCTTTATTAATTTATTTCTAAGACAAGAAATTGACTGCAAAGATTAACAAGAACTTATCCTAAAATTTATTGCCATTTTTTCAATAAAGGATGATTTTATCCAAGCCAAACTTCAATAAATTGAACTAAATCATGTTAGGAACTGTCACATCATCAGGTCTCCAAACATTTCCCATCATCATTAAACAGACACAATATAAGTCTGCTAGCAGCTCCTAGAAACCTGAGACAGCTTCTAAGTAGATATGATTCTACCAGAAGACAACATTCAGCTCTCCTGCTCCTGTTTTTTCTCTTCTCACATTTGATACAGGCATAATTTGCTAGAAATCAACAGTCTCACATTCTTCACATTTTAAGATTTTCCTCCCTACTATTTATGTGCAGGTAAACTAACTGGAATATTGCAGGGGATAATTACAGCTTTGTACACAAAATACTGAAGAGAACAAGATTTCAGTTCAAAGCAGATGCAAAGCACATTCACATCCACAGATGAAGTGCTGTATTTAGCATACTGGATAAAATTCAATATTGACACCAATAATTAATAGATAATTGCTAACATTTCCCACTGTAGAACAAATGAACAGTTCCATCAATGCAAGCTTGGTCTTGCCAATTTAAAGCAACAAGGTGCAGGAAATTGCCACATTAACTCTTTTTCACACATTCTAAATTTCTCCTTTCTGCCAAAACTTTCTCGTGCCTTCCTGAGTGACAACAAGCAATATTTTACTGATATGAAGGGATGCTTAGTTTTTCTTGACAGATAGAAATTAGAGACTTTCAATGGAATGTGCACAGATGGTGTGTGGCTTATGCCTTGAAAAAAGTGAAGACAGGAAACATGAACTTCAGCTCTTTTAGAAAGAAAAGCAGTTGTTGATGGCGTGTGCAGATAAGAAGCGGGTGTGCAATGTGCACAGTGAGGCTGAGTCTCAAAGACACAGACTTCCCCTTGAGCTTCTCACCAAAATGTGAATGACTGAAAATATTGCCACCACTTTCAAAAACTTGCATATTTGCTTAGTTTATCCCATGATGAGAAATTGCAGGCTTGAAGCCATGACAAATTGCAGTGCATGGGTCTTTGCTTCAAGAAATGAATCAACTGATGGATGGCCATTCAATCCCACTGATGATTCTTCACTGCACTTTCAAGTACAATGGATGGATCTGACATTTTCTTTCAGTGATACAGAAATATGATCCTCTGTGCTCTTTATTTTTTTTTAATGGTTTAAACCAATTCTGATAGAGTTATAACCAATTCTTTCAGAGATAACTTTTTTCTCTAAAATACAAATCAAAACAAACTCAAGCATTTATTGTTCTTCTTCATTGTTAATTACACAGTCACAGACTACTGAAAGTGAGAAAAACAACAAGAAAGCATTTCAGTAATTGCCATCTGTGGCTCTTAGGAGGATTTTTTTAGTTAGTTTGCAGTTAGTGAAAGCAAGTGAATTCTGCTTTTACATCTGGGCAGATTCCTGGGCAGCAGTATACAATGCCGTAATATTTTGGCTGCAAACACTACAAAAAAGTGATGATTTAAAGATATTTCCTTTAAATGATCACAATGTCTGCTACAATAATGTGTTTATCAGCAGATGTAGTGGTAATTAAAGGCTAGAGTAAAACACTGGACTAACATTCTTTCTATTATTTAGACTTCTATTTTAGAAGCGATAGACAAATACCTGCCACAGAGCATCTTCTCATGTAGTTTGATGCCTAGAATGCAGAGATATATGGGAGAAGTCACTTTTACCCCCTATGTATCACATGAAGTTCAGAAAACATTACAAATAAAAAAGTAAAAACTGTTCATGTCTGAAAGGAAACACATTATGTAAAATGGGAGATTATGTTTAAAGCAACAAAACTATTTAGATTAAGAAAAGTAATAGTAATTTCCTTGGAATTATATCAATGTTCTTGCTGTCAATACTTCTTGACATGGGAAAGTAATGAAATTTTCAGCAGGAAAAAGAACCCCCTTCTTCATAAATTTTAAATTAATGAATCTCTGTCAATGCTGATGGATAAATTCTGCCATAAATCCAACAGCTGAAATGAAAGAAACACTGAAAGTCTAAGCTGGTCAAATGATGCAAACATAACTGCTAGACTAGCAGTATCTAAAACCAGTTATCTGTTTCTCATGCAGGCACAAAAGGATCACAGCTGCCTGCTTTTTCATGGATTAGAATGACCTTTAGACTTTTCTTAGAAAACAAATCTCATGATACCCTATTATTTTCATGACCTCTTCCTAAATGTTTTATCTTCTCTCTCTACTCTTTGTTTGTAGCTTGAAGCAAGAAAGACAAAGCATAAACTTGATCAAACGAGAGAAACCTGGTCTCTCTAACATACTTCAGATGTCCTATTTAAAGAAAAAAAAAAAGACAAAGTGGAAAAAACCAAGCAATTAAGCAGGACATTAAAGACAGTGTGCCACAGCAAATATTTCAGTACCCCCACATTACTTACTCTCAAACCGCTGAGGCAGAGAATTTCCAAAATATTTCCTAATAATTTCTAACCTGTATAGGGTAACTTTAAAAACCCATTCCATTGGGTTAAGTGTACAAACCCCCCTGCATTTGGAGTAAAATCTTGGCTTGGCTGAAGTCAGTGACAAAGAAAACTGCAGAAGCTAATGAAATGATGATTCATAAAGCTTTCACACTGGTATTTGCTTGTACTTTTCATAATTCATAAACTCAAATATTATATTCCATTGGAATGGAAATAGAATGTATATTCCATTGTTATTAAACTGACTCTCACTTCAGTTGTACTAGATAATTTTTTGCCTAATTTGGCAGATGTTTAAAAGTAAGACAGAGGGGAAGTGAAGTCTATCAGCTAGTAGCAAAACTTTGACTCCCTTTTCTTTTAACAACTTACCGCACTAATTCCTTCACTAAACAGATATACCAGGAGTATAAAGCAAGTGCTTATCAGGAAAGCACACTAAAGTAGTAAAAGCAACAAGAACACTGCAACACATAGCATCTAAATTGATCCCATTGGCATATGACATCTGCATGGCTGACCTCTAATTGGCTTTCCATGGACGAGTTACTCTACATGTGACTGCGCGTACACTCCCATGGCTAAAGCTGCCCTACGCTGCTGCTCTGGGGACAGAAAGGATGTACTGAACAAGGCCATGAACAGAAACAGCCTCACATCTTCCTGGTCTTTCCCACATTTCCAGCCTCCCTAACAAGGCAGCATGTTAGCCCTGCAGCCCAGTCCAGGTTTGTTGGCCGCTCTCAGCAACTTCCCCACCCTTGTGTGGGTAACAAGGCTGTTCCCCATGTTAGCACCACCCAAGTACTTCTGGACTTCTACAAGAGGCCCAGGCACTGACAGTCAGATACTCTGCCTGCTACACAGTCCAAGGCAATATGCTCAGCATGGGCCCCACGGCACCAGCTGGAAAAAACTGCAAATGGCATGAAATAAAGGCAAAAGCATGTTTTTAGATTTATGTTCACTTCACCACTCCAGTGTTACTGTTTGGTTTCCCACAGAATATAGATATGGTGTTATGGTGTTTGCATGACCAACATGGTGTTTCCCACCTCTGACAATAACCAGGTAACTAGTCTTTGTAAAGGGAAGGACTGTTGCTGATGCCTCTAAAGGGGGGAAATGACGCCTTAAGTTTTAGGTTTCATATTTTTCATATTCTGTGCTTCCTTGATATGTAGTTTTGAGCTTCATATTAAGTGCTAGTGAGCTCTCTTCACAGAGTAGGTAGACAAAATAATTCCTTTTCTAGCTTGATACCAAGGACAATCATTACAAGTTTTGGGCCCAAAAGCATAAATGATGTTGGACTGAAGAGAGAAGACAAGAAGGCTGGGACTTCATAACCTGAAGCAGTGATTGGACAATTGACCCTGATATGCAGATGGACCAAAACCTATAAAAATGTGAGACCTTGTGACCATTCATCGATTTTGTGACCATTTTTAGGTTCATCTTGGGTGTAGCCTTGGTGAAGCTCTTGTACAATCCAAGGTGTATCCTTTAAGGCCTTTCAATAAATACCTACTTTATTCTTAACTCTGTCTAGCCTCTGTTCTAGGTCAGCCTTCTCAAGGCACCACTGACAGTTGCCTAAAAGACAATATGCCTACATCAATTAGAGAGCAGTTTAGTCCCCAAAGCATAGCTATTTACATAGCTTTTATAGTTATTAACTGTTTGTATATATTCTCATCTGCTGTGCAGAGATGTTCACAGAGGAAAATTTTACACTAGCCAAAGAGTTTGTCTATTCTATGTCATCTCTTTCTTATGCCTTTGTAACTCCATTACAAAAAATCTGTTTACACTGGGGAAACACAATGATGAGTCAGACACCAAGATAGAAATTTCAGTGACATATAAATGTGTTGTCAACAACAGATGTAAAACTTTGCATAAATGACTCAGTATCTAGAAAACAAAATAAATATTATCTCATAAGGTTGGCAAAAATTGGGGGAAAACACCAAAATCCCCAAATCATTTCAATAACCTAGTTGAGTAATAATCTACATAGTATTTCAGCTGTGTTACTTTTATATTACTTACAAAAATATGGAAATATTTAATATTCTGAAAGCTACTTGTTGGACATAGCTTTTATGTTAAAATAAAGTTACATGGTATTCCTGAGTTTAAAGTAGGATCCTTATTATATCAAGATTTCTAACTCACTGAAGTTATTAAATTGGCTAAAATGTAAGATGCAGTAGGATCTGCATAACATCAAACAAAATATCCCTCACTGACTCATAACATTATCAAAAATCTTTTTCCTGTGCATCTTACTAGAAGAGATGTTACATAGATGCCTCTTCTGCTTATGACTGAGCATGTCAGTTCTCTCAGCATCTGCAGTTGTAGTCCACCCCACACTCTACTTGGCACAATTAAATACTTGTAAGGAAATAATAGGAAAATATTCACAAAAATTCTAATTGACTTGCACAGAACCTAACAGACAATCCACGTAGCTGGGACAATTAACACTGAGCATCTTCTAG